CGAACCAATGCTAGGGACTGTCGACTGTGTACACGAACCAATGCTAGGGACTGTCGACTGTGTACACGAACCAATGCTAGGGACTGTCGACTGTGCACACGAACCAATGCTAGGGACGGTCGACTGTGTACAGAAACCAATGCGAGGGACTGTCGGCTGTGTACACGAACCAGTGCTAGGGACTGTCGACTGTGTACATGAACCAGTGCTAGGGACTGTCGACTGTGTACATGAACCAGTGCTAGGGACTGTTGACTGTGTACATGAACCAATGCTAGGTCATTGCTGAGCTGTGTACACGAACCAATGCTAGGGACTGCCAACTGTGTACATGAACCAATGTTAGGGATTGCTGCGTTGTGTAAGCCTCCAGTGTAATATCCACACCCACAGCTGGTCAGGCCAGCTTTTCCTCAGATCTTTAGCAGCCTCTACATCACTCATTGAAAACCTAGGATGTTTGTGGTCAAACCATGGAACAATATTCCTTGCAAGAATCCACTGGGTCTAATTTGAACCGAACTGATACTTTTTAGCAAAGTAGAGAGAAACTCAATAGAAGGTTTTGGAGATTTCTTTTTTTTTTTTGTAGACAGTTAGGGCTAAGGCCCACATTTAGGAACTATTATTATTAGTTCTAGCCACCTGGACCCACTGTTAGACTCTGCTGTGAGTGATGAGGTGCTAAGCTGATTGGGTTTCTTACTTGTGCCAAGAAACCAAGCCCACTGCCTGGGAGTCAATTTCGCCTCATGTCGACCTCATGTGCTCCAGACTGTGGCTCAGCGCAGGGCACTAAGCCTTTCTTCTGAGGCACCACTGCTGGGTAGAAGCAAACTGCCAACGTTTTGGCTTTCTGCCCTTTATTTTGGCAAATAATGAGTCCATATAGGCAGTTAATGAGCAGAGAAAATGAATGAAAGGATTGGGTGGCTTTGAAAAAAAAATCCCCCAAACAAAATCGCATATAATGTGCTCGTGTTATTTGTGCAAGAACACAGCACCATCTATTCATGCTACGCAGGGACTTTACAGCCGTGCAGAAACCAGCGCTTTCTGAAGTGCAACCTAACTTAATTTTTATCCCCAAAGATAGTCCTGCCAAGGCCACTCATGCCTCTAGAAAAAGTCCAAACTATATTTCGTAAGAAAGCCCTTAGGACTTCTAAACGCTTATAAACTTCAGTTAGTTGTTCTTTATTTCCTCAAAGCAAATTCCGCATGTGTCTTGAGGGTGGTCATTGTATGTCTGCCAATCTGAACCCACAAAATAGGATGAGCTCATAAAGACTGAGGTGCTCGACAAAATCCTTTATCATCTAGAAGCTAAATACACTCCCTTTCCAAAGGCTGCCAGAGCTGCCATGAGCACAGCCTTAACACCTAGGATGTCTGTGGGCCAATCATGGTCAGACTGTGTTGGTGGAATTGTAAACAAATGTCTACATGGGCATCTATATTTTACTACCTTAAGGAGTTATGCTCTCTGCAAAACCAAACCAAAAATCGAAAGTATAATTAAACCATAAAACAAATTTAGGGGCACAGAATCAGGTTCCACTTATGTTAACTCTCCATTCATTAGGTTTCTGGGAATAGAAATTTTTACAGGAGAGAGGATACATCTTTCTCCTGCAGAGCTGCTGGTAGATTTGAACTGCCAAACTTTCAGTTAACAGTCCGACACATTGCACATTACACTACCAAAGCTCCTTGCCTTCTGTGTTGCTATCATGGATTAGAAGGGATCCTGGGCCACAATAAGGGTGGCACTGTGGCTTCCTGAGACTCTCCCAGCAGGCACTGAAGGGCATTGGGTAATCCCTTGGGTGGATCCAACACTGTCACTTTCAGATGTCTATTATGCCTATAAAATTAAACAAGACATCATCGTACATTCTTACTTAATTTGTTACCTGGCTCTGCTTGCTTCCTGGAAGTTAACAATAATAAAAACAAGAATAAGAATCACTCGTGGAGGCAGAAAGCGTCCTCAGCACAAACCTGAGACGTTCTGATTCACTTCTCACAGAGGCCAGTTCCTAGATAAGGCCTAGGAACAGACCCTGTCAACATCTTGTACCTTTCATCTCCAAATTGATCTCATTTCCTTCCTGGCTAGGGGAAGGTAAGCGAGGTGTCCAGGGTGCAAAATTTAAGGACACACTTACTCTTAGTGGGTCAACTTTGTATCTACAGAACCTTGAGAGAGAGCACCTCCTTCCTGGTAGGACACCCTAGAGTTAGGAACCTCCTTAAACGTTACACTCTGATAGTCTCACCTCCCCCTCGTCTAGGCCCTGACTCCCCTTCTCTTGGCATCTTAGTGAATGCTTGGGGAACAACACTCTCAACTTCATGTTCATCACCTACCTGGGGCTCAATATGGTCCAGAACACAAGCTTGGCTCCTGGCATGCTCTGTGATGTCAGGCTAGTTCAACAATCTCTCTGAACTTTCTCGCCAGTGAATGAAGATTCTTCTCCCTCCCCACAAGACTGACAAAATGATTAGCTGAGATTGTGTAAGTTGTATGCTTAGCACTTAGTGGAGGGGTGGGCACAGGTAATGTGTATGTTTTGGGCAGGTGGGGCCATTCCCTGGTGAACTGCATCATGATTGGTAGAGGGTCAGCAAAAGAGAGGAAGGGCCTCTCAATGAGATGGACTAACACAGTGGCTGAATGAATGGACTCAAACAGCGAAGACTGAGAATGGGGCAGGACCAGGCAGTCATTCATTTTGTTGTCCACAGGGCTGCTGTGTGCTCAAACCAACTCAATGACACCTAACAACAATGACAACAATGCCTAAGGCTGTTTAGTCAGTAAGAGAATATTAGTTACCATTGCTAATAGGACTGGCGGTGAGCTCTGGTGGCCTAGTGGCTAGAAGTTGCCCTATAATCCCGAAGGCAAGTGGTTTGAGGCCACCAACTGCTCTGTGGGAGAAAGATGGGCAATCTCCTCCTGTGCGATTAAATTACCTCTGAAAACTTTCTGGAGGGTCAGCTTTGGATCGGTTCTGAGTCTGTGGTACACAGTAACAATAAGAGGACTGCGAACATACTGCTTCTCATTGTAAGGCCATGATATGCTGTCTAGAAGATTGTTGTTGTTGTGTACCTTCAAGTCCAGAACCAACTCATAGCTGACCCTCCCATGGGTTTTCAGAGACAGATAATCACATGGGAGGAGATAACCGCCTAATAATCTGTTTAAAAACAATTTAGCACCTTGAACAAGGCCTGGGCAGTGTTTGGACCTGTTACCCATAGGAGCAATTCACAGCACCCTGAACAGGAGGTCTTCCCATGCTGGGTGGCATCACCTGCTGGGTGTCCAACAATCGGCCTGGCACACCGCTTAGCAACCCACTTCCTGAAACTCTTAGAAGGTTCAGAGTCCATGCTTTCCAGAAGCCACAGATAAGAAACAGGAAGGGTGCCCCACCCCAGAAGCCTCCCCAGGAAGGCAGAACAGTGCTGAAGAGGGGAGGAGAAGGAAAATAAAGCTTCACTCACTGCTGTCGGTTTGTGGGCGCTGCACCAAGACTTGGAAGCGCAGCCGGAGGATCCCCGGGTCTTGGGCGTCTTGGTCACAGCCCTGCAGGGAGAGGTTGAAGCTTCCAGCCATGTTCCCAGGCTGTGGGCCCTGCAGCTTAAACACCTCCGGGTTGGTGGTGGAGCCCGGGATGTAGTATTCAACCCGCTCCTCCTTCTTGATGCAGTTGGAGACGTTGACGGTGAGGAAGGTGACGGTGGCCCGCAGGTGCGCTGGGACGACAAACTGCCATGTCATGAGCTCATCCTCGGGGAAGCCTCCCGGGTAGTTGGGAGACATCAGGGTGGCCGAGCCTTCACCCGCAAACACAGACTCAATGACGCACAAACCTAAGGGCAGCAGAGTCAACAAGAAAGAACAGATGATCAGACCATGCCCTGTTGCCCATGGTTGAGGGATGGGGCGTCAGAGCAAAGATCTCAGTGGGGCTCAGATCCTGAGCCATTCTCAGATTCTTCCAGAGAAGAGTAGGACCTTTCTTTAAGATACTTAGGTTAAATCAAGGGAACTCTGGTGGGATAGTGGCAAGAAGCTGTACTGCAGTCCCAGAGGTGCATGGTTCGAATCCACCAGATGCTCTGCTGGAAAAGGAGGGACAATCTCCTCCTGTACCAGTCAGATCTGACACACACACACACACACACACACACACACACACAGATACTTAGGTTAAATCATGATTTGCTACGTTTACATCCAAAGCAGAGGTTGGTGATGAGAATATATCAATGGTGTAGGAGTAAACTATTAGTAACTGTTGTTATTGTTGTTGTTATGTGCCGTCAAATCACTTGTGACTCATAATGACCACAGCTCTGAACCGTGCTCTATCCTGAGCCAATTTCATCGTCTCTGACACATCTACCCCCATTACCCCAGCCACTGAGTCAATCCATCTCATTGAAGGTCTTCCTCTCTTGAGCTGTCTCTCCATCCTCCCAAACATGATGTCCCTCTCCAAGGACTGGTTGTTAGGTGGAGCTTCAGAATCCTTGCTTAATAACTAACTCACTGAAATAAAAGCGAGCCTTACGCTGAAGCATCTGTCAGCTTCCAGTGCCCTATTCTGAGCTACCAATATGATGAGGCTGAAAAAGAGATGCACAGTTGCATTGTCAATGCAGAAGTTTGTGGTTCAAATCCACCAGTTGTTTTGCAGGAGAAAGATGGGTAATCTCCTCCGATGTGATTTACTGCCTCTGAAAACCCACTAGAGGGTTTGTCACATCCTTCTTCTGTGGAGCAGGTTGTGGGTTCAAATTGCTTAACCACTTCACCACCAAGGTTTATACTGGAGTATCTAGTCAGCTCAAGAAGTGTGTTGAATATACCACGGGCTGCTAGGAGAACAAACAGGTTTGTCCTGGAGAGGGTGAAACCAGGCTGCTCCTCGGAGGCAAGGATTCTGAAGCTCCATCTGACATACTTTGGGCATGTTACAAGGAGGGACCAGTCCTTGGAGAAGGACATCATGCTTAGAAGGTGGAGGGACAGTGCAAGAGAGGAAGATTCTTAATGAGATGGATTTGACACAGTGACTGGGATAATAGGGGCAAGTGTGTCAGAGACAGTGAGATTGGCTTAGGATAGGACAGAGTTCAGAGATACTGTGCATATGGTTGCTATGAGTCACAGGCGACTTAGTGGCACATAACAACAAGGAACAATAAGCACACAGGATGAAGCAATGAGTGGTCACCCCAGAGAGAAGGGGGTTCACACTAGGAAAGCAAGCCACATCTCTAACTAAACCTTCCTTTATGGAGTTTAGGTTGCATCATACAAAATTGCCCCCATGTGACTGTTTACGGCCAGAACACAAAGATAACTCTGTTGGGCTTAACCTCTTTAAACAGCAGGGCAGGTGAAAGTGTGCTCACGTTTTATAGACGATCGGTTTGCCACACTGAAGCCAGAGAGGTTTCGCCTGTCGAACCACGGGAGGTGTAAGGCCAGGCTCCCTCTCTCCTGCATCTGGATCTGGGACACAGTGCCGTTGTGACAGAAGGTCCCGATCCTGACTGTGCTGGCATCGAGGTGGCCGTGGATGGAGTAAGAGACTCCATCTGAGCAGCTCTCCTCCTGGGGCTCGATCTGCCTCAGGCGAGGGAAGGAGAAGCGTAGCTCTAAGGCACTGTTCTTAGGACCTTTCACATCCCAGATGAAGGTTTTGTTGAGGGCCGGGAGCGAGGATGTTGACGGCTGGAGTGGAAGCTCCCCAGAAGGACATCGTCCTGACACGCAATCTGAAACAGACAGAGAAGCAACTGTGAGCGCAGACATTTGAAAAGCCAACCCCTCTGCTTCTCAGTTCCCCGTGGTGGCCCTGTCCCCTAGCTGCTGTGAATGTTGGTGGCCAAAGGCTAACAGACACACTCATCTCTGGGGAAGTGTCTGAGTTCAGGGGGAGCTAGAAGTTTCCCCTGACCTGTTTACTTCAAGTGACACAACCTAATATTGCCTATTCATCCTCTAGACACCCGCCACTCCCTCCCGCCCCACCGTGGGTTTAGGCGGAGACAGACTTCACCTAAAATCACATTTTTGGTTTGCATTTTGTGCTCAGTGCTGCTTCCCTCACTTCTTCAGGGGTTTCTTCTGAGGGCTCTCTGGATAAATGACTTAGATGTGAATCCCTGTCACTGGCTCTGAGAGAACAGAATCTTTGATTCCTCCCAACTACTAGTTTTTCCATATTCAATGGTTAGAACATTCCAGAAGCCAGAGGAAGGCCACGTGTAGTGGAGAGTCCATGCTTTGAGATATCCTACTTCCTTTGCTGAGACAGCCACGGTTTCACAATTTTTAGGGCCTGGCGCCAAGACCCACCTTCTAAAACTGGTTTCTCCATAAGACACTCATCAACACATTAAATCTCTGATCCAGTCTCCCGGATGGCGGGAATCCAGTTATCTGCTTACCTTGAGTTTTTGATGCTGGCATTTTATTACCATTGTTGACATTTCCTGTTTTTAAGGCTAACTGTTAAATGACACCCCAAGTCTTTCAAAACAGAAAAATATCACTGTCAGAGGAAATCAGAAAGCATGTGGAAGAAGTACTAAAAAGCAGGTAACATAACGTTAAAGGCTTTTGTTGTCTGAAGGAGGAAATGTGAAAGTGTTGATGGGCTCTGGTCACCATGATAATAATCTGGTGAACCTTTATTTCTGATCTAGTGGGGTGTTTCAAAGTACTGCAACCAGAAGGGAATCATGGGAGAATGTCAGAGATGCCTGTGACCTTGGAGTTTGTTCATGCGGAACTTTCCATGTATTTTTTTCTTGTTTGAAATTGAAACGATTTAATTGATTCCTAACACTGCTCCTTGCATTCAAAGTAAGCATGACACTATTGTTGTTGTTACTGTTAAGTGCCATTGAGTCATACACAACTCATAGCGATCCTATGAATGAAAGACCTGAACACTTATATAACTTTCATCGTTTCTCTAAGTGCATAGAGTTTCTTGAGGCAAGCTAGTTCAAAAGGGGATGCCACTCCTGCTTCCAAGCCTGCTTTAATCTGGGAGCACCACCAAACACTTTCCACCATGGGTAACTATTATGCTACTATTACTGAATATTAAAATCTAACAAAATTGAAAATTATATGTAGAAATAATGATTTTTTGCTTAGTGAATTTTAAAAAAATTCATGGTTATAACTTAGGTAACAAAATACCTGCCATTTACAATCCAGATATCTCAGTTTTTGCAAGGGAGCCCTAGAAGCTATGTGATGGTTATCAGTTAACAGCATATGAGAATCCTGGGATAAAAGTCCAGCTGTGTTTGGTAAACTTTAAACCTTAGCTCTTGTCAATGACCTCCATTCTTGACCCAATAAAACAGGTAACAAGGTAGTTATTGTGACTAACATTATACTCCAAGCCACTTAATATAGCACCTATTTTCAAGAACTCAACGAAACTGTTAGTCGTATCAAGCCAGCTGGTTTTTGGAGGCTGTAAATTGCATGGGAGGAGACTGTCTATCTTTCTCCAAAGGTGGATTTGGAGGCTCAGAGAGGTGTGGCCTCTGGGTTGGCAGTGCATGGACCATGCTGCCAGAGCTCTCCTGTGGATAGCAGGTTGTTGTTATTGTTGTTGTGTGCTGTTGAGTCAGAATTGACTCACAGCTGACCCTCCTGCAGGTTTACAGAGGCAGTAAAACGTGTGGGAGATTGCTCATCTTTCTCCTCTAGATGGTATTGAACTGTGTGCCTCTCGGATTGCAGCACAGCTTTTTACCACAAGGCCATCAGAGCTCCCTCGAGGCTAGCATAGGACCTGGCAATGGTTTGTTCTCTTGAACATGGGGTTGGTATAGGTCAGAATTGAGTCAACGAGACTTAGAAACAGTAAGATTATTCCAACCTCATATGATAACAATAAAAGATCTTTTTTTTCTTATTATCTATTACGGATATTATTGTTGTTGTTGTTGTTATGTGCCGTCGAGTCGTTTGCGACTCATAGCGACCCTATGTACAAAAGCCCTAAACCGTGCTCTATCCTGTGCCAATCTCATTGCCTCTGACAAACCCATCCCGATTACCCCAGTCACTGAATCAATCCACCTCATAGAGGGTCTTCCCCTCCTGCGCTGTCCCTCCACTCTGCCCAGCATGATGTCCCTCTCTAAAGACCTGTCTCTCCTTACAACATATCCAAAGTATGTCAGGCAAAGCCCTAGAATCCTTGCCTTCAAGGAGCAGCCTGGTTTAACCCTCTCTAGGATGAATCTGTTTATTTTCTTGGCAGTCCATGGTACATTCAATACTCTTCTCCAGCACCACAGCTCAAAGGCATCAATTCTCCTTCTATCCTCCCTAGTCATTGTCCAACTCTCTGATGCATAACAAGTGATTGCAAAAACCATGGCCTGTATCAGGCGCACCTTAGTCTCCAGAGAGACACCGTTGCTCTTGAGTACTTTAGAGAGGTCCCTAACAGCAGACTTTCCCATCGCAATACGTTTTTTGATTTCCTGGTACGGACATTATAGCAAAATTATTAATCTGGGGATTTTTCTTGTCACATTTTTGAATTTTTCTCTAAATACTAACAACTTTCAAAATTTCCTTTATGTCTTCAGCAGATAATCACATCAATCTGCAAACAAAGACGGTATTGTGTCTTTCTCTCGTAACTTGGCCTTTTCCTGTCTTGGAGCCTCATTCTCTTGGCTTGAACAAGATGCACCGGTGGGAATCTTTCTATTGTTCCCTATTTTAGCTGCAATGCTTCTGTCTGTTTAGTAGTTATTATTTGTTTCTGGTGAATGATCTTGTACTTGAAACCACATCTAGGTTCATCCATCCCTGAAGTTGGAGCATAGCTCAGCAGTGCTGTCCACTGTTTCCTTCCTTTACCTTCTCAATCGTCTGATTCTTCTGTCCTCTTCAGTCTCTGACATTGAAGGTGTTAAACACATCAAGACAAAGTACTATCTGATATAATATCTGCAGTCAAGTCTGACTCAGAATAACTCTCTAGAATGGAGCAGAACTGCCCCACGGAGTATCCAAGCTGTAATTTTCCTGGAAACAGTCTGCTACAAAATTCTCTCTCAGGATAGCTGGTAGGCTTGAACCCCCAGCCTTTTGGTTAGAAGCCACACGTTTAACTACTTCACCATCAAGACTCCTTTAAAGCACTGCGGATTCTGGAGTGAACCAAGGCTTCTCTAGTGCGATGCTGAGAGACCAGGTGGCCTGGTGGTTAAGGACACAGACTCTGGAGCAAGTGTACCTGCGTTCCCAGCCTATACTACTCAAGTACTGTGTCAGCTTACTCTTCCACAGTGCTGCTGTTATGTGCCATCGAGTTGCTTGCGACTCATAGTGACCCTGTGTACAACAGCCCTGAATCTTGCTTTATCTTGAGCCAACCTCATTGTCTCTGACACACCTACCCCCATTTCCCCACTCACTGAGTCAATTCATCTCATCCATGGTCTTCCTCTCCTGCACTGTCCCTCTACCCTTCCAAGCACGATGTCCCTCTCCAAGGACTGTTCCCTCCTTGTAATATGTCCAGAGTATGTCAGTTGGAGCTTCTAAATCCTTTCCTCCAAGGAGCAGCCTAGTTTTACCCTCTCTAGGATGAATTTAAACTGCCACCATTTTAGCTACTATATCAGTATAAACTTCTAAGGCTTCTTTGCCAGGGACATAGAACCACACCTGGGCACATAAGGGTGCGTTTAACAGTGTTCAGAGGTCCAGAGTGCATCTCAGCTCACTAGTGCTAGTGAGATTCTGTGTTAGCACAGAGATGAGAGTAGACATGGTGCTGGTGCACGGTCAGAATCGGCAAGCACGTACTCACCAATATCCCTCTGGATCTCGATGACAAAGTGCTTCTCTGGATTCTGACAGGTAAACGTAAAGGACACGCTACTTCCAGACTTGACGGTGAATGTGGTCTGCAGTTTTCTTAAAATGGACATGTAACAGGGCTTCCCTGGCAGGGCTGGGGTCGTAGACTTTACGGAAACGGTAAGGCCGCTTCCGGGAGGCAGAGCAATGTCAAAGGCTCCTGTAGAAAGGAAGAGAGATGAAGTGAGCAAGTAGATTGTGGTCTGCAAACCTGCTGTGTGTCCTCATCCGCCGGCTCAGGGAGGTCACCCCGGACGCAGACGCCTTCTTTCCTTCCCACCTGGCTGAGAAGCAGGATGCAAAATGACACGTGTGTCACATTACACCAGTGGGAAAGAATGAGGTCATTGTGCGTGTAAAGTTAATATAGGTCTCCTTTGCTTTAAAAATCAAAAACACAAAGTGGTATCCAGTTTTTTCCCCCACTATCTCATTTGTAAGGTATTAAATAATGACCAGAGATCCTTCTCCCCATCTCATCCGAGAACAGAAGAGATTTCACAGACAGACACCATAGACTACGGCTAACGCTGAAAAGAATGGGAATTCCAGAACACTTACTTGTGCTCATATGAAATCTATACCACGACCAAGAAGCTGGGGAAAGTTAAGTTCATCTTAGAAAAGCCACTGCCTCCACCCAGGACACGCTGGATACCTAATTCACACATGCGCTGGAGGCAGTTTGCAAATATAAGATCTAAACAGAACCTGTCAGTGAGATTGGAAATAAAAGACTGAGTAAAAACCATGCTGATCTGTGAGCCTGGGGTTGAATAAAACCCCAATGTCAAACAAGTGAGACAAAGGAGATGTTAGTTACTAAAGAAGAAGTCCAGGGTCCCAGGGGAGCAAAAAAAAAAAAGGGGGCTTGCGACAGGCTGCTGGATGAATGGGTGGCAGTTCAATCCACCCAGCAGTGCTGTGGAGGAAAGGCCTGGCAATCAAATGCTGCAAGATTAACTAAGCCCAATTGCCACTGAGTCCAATTCCCACTCTTGTCGTAGTTCACAGCACAACCACACTCCACGGCATTCTCAATGGCCCTGATCTTCTGGATTATGAAGACAGCTTCCCTCAGAGGGGAAGGTCTGAGTCACGGAACTAGCCCAACCAGTCTCTTTCTGTTCCCTGGGATTTGTTTAATGATTTTAAAATTCTTTAAAGTTGTAAAAATTTTTTAGGACTTTTCTCTTTAGAAGCCAAAAGAGCTGCTACCCTCACTCTGACTTGGGTCCTGATTGTGGGTCCTTGGGCAGATGAGGCTGTAGCAGTGAATGCTGACATGGCTGTGGGTGGGGCTGGTGAGGGGACCTCAGGGGCCCACAGCGAGTCACAGGGCTGGCACTGGTATCTCTGCTGCGCTGTGCTTTGGGGCAAATTGATGGTCAGTACTTATTACGACACCTGCAAGTGGAAATCCAATTGTCCAATGAGATTCCATGTCACTCTAGTAAAAGAAGCAAGATTCAGTAAGACATCAAACCAAAAATGCCAGTGAGGGTGCACCGAGGTTGGAACTCTCAGACGCTGCTGGTGGGAATGTAAAATGGTACAACCACTATGGAAAGCAGTTTGATGCTTCTTTTTATTTTTATTTTTAATTTTTTGTGTGTGTACCATCAAATGGGATCTGACTGGTACAGGAGGAGATTGCCCCTCCTTCTCCAGCAAAGCATCTGGTGGATTCGAACCACACACCTCTGGGATTGCAGTGCAGCTTCTTGCCACTAGGCCACCAGAGCTCCCTAGTTTGACACTTCTTTAGAAAATTGAGACTAGGGGAGCTCTGGTGGCCTAGTGGCAAGAAGCTGCAACTACAATCCCAGAGGTGCACAGTTCGAATCCACCAGATGCTCTGCCGGGGAAGGAGGGGCAGTCTCCTCCTGTACCAGTCAGATCTGATTTGACGGTACACGCGCACACACACACACACACACACAAGAAAATAAAATTTGAAAAAAAAAGAAAATTGAGACTAAAATGCCTTTTGACCCAGCAATTCCACTACTTGGTATCTGTTGTTGTTCTTGTTGTGTGCCACTGAATCAGGACCAACCCATAGCTGACCCTCCAGGGTGTTTTTAGAGGCAATAAAAATGCATGGGAAGAAATTGGCCCACTTTTTCCTGTGGAACATCTGGTAGATTTGAAATGCATATTTTTGAGTTGGCAGCTCACCTCCTTATATATCCCGAAGAAGTAAGAGCTAGAACGCAAGCTGGTATACTCAAAACCATGTTGACTGCAGCATGATTTACAATTGCAAAGGGTTGGAAATAACCCAAACATCCATCAACAGGTAAATGACTAAAGAAACCGTGGTACATTCACACCATGGAGTATTATGGCATTGCTAAAAAAACTACTGAGAATTTGTGAAGTACTGCACAATACAGATTAATCGAGAGCAAGTAATGCTGAGTGCAATAATCCAGTCACAAGAGGACAATTATGGGATAAGACCACCTATAGAAAAAGCTAAGGAAAGGTCTGGTCTACGCAAGGACAGACTCAAGCTTCAAGGGTTGACAGAGACGAGAAGGGAGGGAGAGGGGAACAAAAAGAAATCAAATGGGTGAAGAGAAAGGCAATCTACTGTCACTGATTAAACATTATCATCAACTAATAAACTGTAAGGGAATTTATAAAACAAAATGTGTCTCAATGATTAAATGGAAATGTGATGATTTTTAGGTTTGCACTAAAAAAAATTTAAAGAATCAAAATTGTTGCCTTTGAAATGATTCTCACAAAGACCTTTTAAGGCACAGTCACACTGCCCCAGGGGGTTTCCAGTGCAGTGATCTTTTTTTTTTATATTATTATTAAATTTTATTAGTTTCAATGAACATTCACAGGGATTCTGGGCTTTCACTCATTTATTGCCGCATCATTCTCTCCACCCTCCTCCCCAGTTCGTTCTTCTTCCCCGCCATCCGAATGTCTGTTTTAATTGTCCAATTGCCACAGTGCTTGTCAAAGTCAGTTCTGATTAATCTCCTTTGTCGGTGTGTCCTTTGCCATTCCCTATCACTCCTCCCTGAGAGAGACTTCACCCTGAGTGATAAGGAAAAGGGGATGGCGTATTCTCTTAGCTACTTCCTGCTGAAAAGGGACGCTGTGGGTTTCAGGGTGAAGATCTTCTCTCACTACTCTAAAGGGCCCCTTTGGCAGTAGGAAACACATAGACTATTATGGAGATTGATTTTGGAATTTAGATGCACTCTTATTGATTATGCTTGGCCGTACATGTTCATATCCTTGAAGATGTATCATGGGGGTGTTGCAACCTAGAAGACACAAATGTGACTAACAAGTTATAAGTACATGAGTCAAAAATTATGGAAAAGTAAAAGAAAGGATTCTTTCATTGTTTTACAAACCCTCCCCCAGGTCCCCTCCACCATGCTCTAGACTCCTGTGATGACAGAAGTACCTAGTCATATATCTCTTTTAAACAGTTTTCTCCCTCCTCTGTTTCAGTGCAGTATACATTATTGAACCCATCTTACTCAGTCTCTCCCCAACCCCAAGGACAGTCCCATTCTACAACAGTAGCATCATGTAATATTTGTCCTTTTGTGACTGGGATATTTCACTCAGCATAATGTTCTCCAGAGTCAACCATTTTGAATAATATTGCATGAGTTCCTTATTTTTTAATGCAGCATAGTATTCCATTGTGTGAATATACCACAGCTTCTCTAGCCATTCGTTTGTTGATGGGCACTTCGGTTGTTTCCAAATCCTTGCTATTGTGAACAAAGCTGCAATAAACATGGGTGTGCATATATCTGCTTGGATGTCAGCTATGGTCTCTTCAGGGTATATTCCCAATAGTGGAATTGCTGGGTCAAATGGTATCTCTTTGCAACTTTTTGAGAAAGCGCCATACTGCTTTCCACAGGGGTTGTACCATTTTACACTCCCACCAAGAGTGAATCAGGGTTCCAGTTTCTCCACAACCTCGCCAGCATTTGTTGCTTGATGTTCTGTTAAATTTTGCTATTTTGACTGGGGTGAGATGATATCTCATAGTTGTTTTAATTTGCATCTCTCTTAGGGCTAGGGATTTTGAGCATTTCTTCATGTGCTTGTTAGCCATCTGAATGTCGTCTTCGGTGAAGTGCCTGTCCTGTGCCCATTTGTCTATTGGATTCTTTACCTTTATCTTGTTGTGGTGCTCAAGTATTTCATAAATTCTGGATATAAGTCCCTTATCTGATATGTTATTACCGAATACTTTTCCCCAGTCAGTGGCTTCCCTTTTTACCCTACTGGAGAAGTTTTTGGATGTGCATAGGGATTTGAGTCTTAGAAGATCCCATTCATCTATGTTATCTTCTCCTGGTTGTAGGTTTTCCAGGATACTGGGAAGACTGTTTATGTTGTGGATTAGGACTTCTAGTGTTGTTCCTAGCTTTTCTGTAATGAAGTTTATAGTCCTTGGTTTTAGTCCTAGGTCCATGATCCACCTTGAGTTGGTTTTTGTGTATGGAGTGAGGTGTGGGTCTTGCTTGAGTCTTTTGCAGATATTTTTCCAATTTTGCCAACACCATTTGTTAAAAAGGCTGTCGTTTCCCTACTTCACTGATTTCATCTCCTTGTCAAATATCAGTTGACCATAGATAGATGGGTTGATCTCTGGATTCTCAATTCGATTCCATTGATCTATGTGTCTGTCATTATACCAGTACCATGCTGTCTTTACCACTACGGCAGTGTAGTAGGATTTGAAATCAGGGAGTGAGATACCTCCTACTGTTCTTCTATTCTTAAGGAGTGCTTCAGTGCAGTGATCTTTACCGATAGGAGCCCCAGTGGTGCAGTGCTTAAGCACTAAGTGGCTAACCAAAGAGATGTTGGTAATTGAAATCCACCAGCTGCTCCACAGGATAAAAGATGTGGCTGTTTATATGCCTTTCAAGATTATAGCCTTGAAAACATCCTCGACCCAATGGCAATAGGTTTGGTTTTTCAGTCAATCTTTACAGACACAGAAACCATAGCTTTCTCCTGAAAGCACTTGGTGAGTTTGAACTGTTGACCTATCAGTTAGCAGCCGAGCGCTTAAACACTTTTGCTTTTGGGTTTGCGTAGATAAGGTGCCACCAGCTCTCCTCTTCTACACAAACCCCACTGCAAACTC